GTCAGGATATGGATTTGGGATGGGACAAGGGGAAGGAATAGTGCCCAACCACTTCGATGGTCGGGGATTGAACGCCGACCTGCATGTGAGAGTGTAAATAATTTTGAGAAAGTTTAGTCCTAGTTCAAATTCTCACACCAAAAAAAATCCTTTATATTTCGCATCACACCAATTTGCATCCATAATGTCTCATTACTCCGTTCCCGACTGGGCTGGAGTGGAGAGGCTTGAGCTCAGAGGCCAACAACTTATATAGTAATATAAATAATGAAATAGCAAGCGTCATGTTTAATAATCTTTGGCGACTTTGACTTCATTTACTAAACAGTTTAAGAGCATCGAATATACCCAATCAAATATTATTAATGCTATAAACAGCCTCCTGGTGCTTAGGAGTTCATGAAATGTTTAATATACGTAAATCAAGCCGCTAGAGATTGATCTGTGACAAGCGTCATCCACGATAGAAAGATTGATCCCCGAGGATAAAGAGGAAGCACCAGGCTCGACCACTGCACCAAGACGTGCCCTCATAGGCAGCATCGTCACTTCATCTGCAACTCTGCTAAAAATTCCAAATTTTTATCCTAGCCGGTCGGGGAGCCGGTCGGCCGAGCGGACAGCACGCTGGACTTGTGATCCTGTGGTCCTGGGTTCGATCCCAGGCGCCGGCGAGAAACAATGGGCAGAGTTTCTTTCACCCTATGCTCCTGTTACCTAACAGTAAAATAGGTACCTGGGTGTTAGTCAGCTGTCACGGGCTGCTTCCTGGGGGTGGAGGCCTGGTCGAGGACCGGGCCGCGGGGACACTAAAAAGCCCCGAAATCATCTCAAGATAACCTCAAGATAGCCAGAAACGTGGGCAGACAAGACCCTCACTCATTCACATTCACAGACCACCAAGGAAGGAGACAAAGGCGCCGGTGGCTGTGTGGATAGCACGCTGGACATGTGATCCTGTGGCCCGGGTTCGATTCCCGGCGCCGGCGAGAAACGATGGGCAGTTTCTTTCACCCCTGATGTCCCTGTTACCTAGCAGTAAATAGGTACCTGGGAGTTAGACAGCTGTCACGGGCTGCTTCCTGGGTGTGTGCGTGTGTGTGGGGAAAAAAATAGTAACAGTTGATTAACAGTTGAGAGGCGGGCCGAAAGAGCAGAGCTCAACCCCCTCAAGCATAACTAGGTGAATATAAACCCCTTGCCGTCTCACCGGCCAGCAGACAGAGCACAGCATCCTCTCCCGAGGCAGCAGACAGACGGAGGCAGCATCCTCTCCCGTGGCAGCAGACAGACGGAGGCAGCATCCTCTCCCGAGGCAGCAGACAGACGGAGGCAGCATCCTCTCCCGTGGCAGCAGACAGACGGAGGCAGCATCCTCTCCCGAGGCAGCAGACAGACGGAGGCAGCATCCTCTCCCGTGGCAGCAGACAGACGGAGGCAGCATCCTCTCCCGAGGCAGCAGACAGACGGAGGCAGCATCCTCTCCCGAGGCAGCAGACAGACGGAGGCAGCATCCTCTCCCGAGGCAGCAGACAGACGGAGGCAGCATCCTCTCCCGAGGCAGCAGACAGACGGAGGCAGCATCCTCTCCCGAGGCAGCAGACAGACGGAGGCAGCATCCTCTCCCGAGGCAGCAGACAGACGGAGGCAGCATCCTCTCCCATAGCAGCATCATGCACCCTCCTAGCACTGTAGGGGAGCAACTCACTCTCGCTAAGAGGATATACAGTCCGTAAAAAAGCAGAGGATCCGCGACCAGCACCAACTCTACCGTCACCGTGTCTTTTGTATCGGCTCGTGGCTCGTCTCATCTCAAGATCCTGGCTTTTTTTATGACTCAATTTTCCAGTCGGAATGAAAGGACCTCTTTTTTTCTGAGCTCAAGTCACTGTTGAACTTTGTTTCGCGGAGTCTCTTCTCTCTTTCTTGATGATGGGAGATCGCTAGCCTTCATTTTTCTCGAGAATACTACTTGATGTTTTGTATATAATCCCAGGTAGTGAATATACCTTCATCCTGAGGTATATTCACTCTTTGATGTACTAAATATGCTCTTTAATGAGTTATATATAATTTTATATCAAGCATGTAACACTTAGGATAAGGTACTTACTCAGTGATATATATATATATATATATATATATATATATATATATATATATATATATATATATATATATATATATATATATATATATATATATGCGAACAAGCCTGAATGGTCCCCAGGACAATATGCAACTGAAAACTCACACCCCAGAAGTGACTCGAACCCATACTCCCAGGAGCAACGCAACTGGTATGTACAAGACGCCTTAATCCACTTGACCATCACGACCGGACATAATGAGGTGATAGCCGAGGCTATTTGAACCACCCCACCGCCGGCACTCGGATAATAATCTTGGGCATAGCATTTTACCAAATCACCTCATTCTTTGGGGCACACGTGAGGAACACAAATGCGAACAAGCCTGAATGGTCCCCAGGACAATATGCAACTGAAAACTCACACCCCAGAAGTGACTCGAACCCATACTCCCAGGAGCAACGCAACTGGTAGCCGGCGGTGGGGTGGTTCAAATAGCCTCGGCTATCACCTCATTATGTCCGGTCGTGATGGTCAAGTGGATTAAGGCGTCTTGTACATACCAGTTGCGTTGCTCCTGGGAGTATGGGTTCGAGTCACTTTTGGGGTGTGAGTTTTCAGTTGTTATATATATATATATATATATATATATATATATATATATATATATATATATATATGCGAACAAGCCTGAATGGTCCCCAGGACTATATGCGAATGAAAACTCACACCCCAGAAGTGACTCGAACCCATACTCCCAGAAGCAACGCAACTGGTAACTACAGGGCGCCTTAATCCGCTTGACCATCACGGCCGTCATGAGGTGATTATGAGGTGATTTGGTGAAATGCTATGCCCAAGATTACCATCCGAGTTGCCGTCGGGGAAGTGGTTCAAATAGCCTCGGCTATCACTTCCTTTTGACGGCCGTGATGGTCAAGCGGATTAAGGCGCCCTGTAGTTACCAGTTGCGTTGCTTCTGGGAGTATGGGTTCGAGTCACTTCTGGGGTGTGAGTTTTCATTCATATATATATATATATATATATATATATATATATATATATATATATATATATATATATATATATATATATATATATATGTCGTACCTAGTAGCCAGAATGCACTTCTCAGCCTACTATGCAAGGCCCGATTTGCCTAATAAGCCAAGTTTTCCTGAATTAATATATTTTCTCTAACTTTTTTCTTATGAAATGATAAGGTTACCCATTTCATTATGTATGAGGTCATTTTTTTTTATTGGAGTTAAAATTAACGTAGATATATGACCGAACCTAACCAACCCTACCTAACCTAACCTAACCTATCTTTATAGGTTAGGTTAGGTTAGGTAGCCGAAAAAGTTAGGTTAGGTTAGGTAGTCGAGAAAACATTAATTCATGTAAACTTGGCTTATTAGGCAAATCGGGCCTTGCATAGTAGGCCGAGAAGTGCGTTCTGGCTACTAGGTACGACATATATATATATATATATATATATATATATATATATATATATATATATATATATATATATATATATATATATATATATATTTAAAACCTAGAAGGGGTACCACCTCTGGTACAAGTGTAGGGACCCTTGGTCTCGGAGAAGAAAATAAAGAGTACTCAGAGAAGACCTTTTTGATGCTCACTGAACACTTTGATATTTTCTTCTCCTATCACCCCTGTTCTTTTCTTATATATATATATATATATATATATATATATATATATATATATATATATATATATATATATATTATTTATATAAACTTTTTATATAAAAAGTTTAAGGGCATGCAAAATTAATAGGTCGTATTTTACAGTACACTGATTCTGACCATTTAAATTATTTCCGCATGCTTTCCATTTTACACGATTTTAATGGAAATAAATATTTCCTGTGTAGAATGCACCATAAATTGTTGACTGGCGAAGATATATTGGCAAATACCAAAGAACTGTGCATTTGCACTTTGAATTGCCATGCTATCATCATTCTTTAAATAAATAATTTATACAATAAATTTAATATTATTGATTTATTTATAGGTTGGATGATTCTTGTTCTGAAGCCCTGATGTAGACAAATTAACCTTGTAGAAAGAACCACATATTGCACTACATATATGTGGCTACAAGACCACATACACGACCTCTCTATGATCAGGAATTCAGGGGCAAAATGCATCAAGCATTGTGAAACCTGTGCATCTTTCCCTAATCATGGCGGCTTTCTTTACATTCATTAAGCAGTATACGATCTTCGAAACTTCACAATTCAAGGTATTTATTGTTATAAACATCAGCATGGTGCATCAGAGCTCACATACTGTGTAATAAAGACTTGAAATCAAGGCCTTTTGTGTAATTTTTATAAAGTCGAATATAGTTTAAATTCTTTTTAACAAGCTGAAAATGACAGCGACTCAGAATGTTGTCAATTGTGACAGCTCCTTGTTGTTGTGTGATCATTTCGCCTATGTTGTCTGGCATTAAACGTGAATCGATATGTCCAACATGTTATAAGTGACGCAGCTGGTGACTGGTAGGCCTACCTTGACGTTATCTTGGTTCCAAGCATCATTGTCAGACCAATTATGTGTTGTTGTTTGAAGCACGAAGCTTTATCACTTGTAACTAACATTTATAGCCAGAAACACTGGCCAAGCGGATGGTTCAAGTGGCCACGAATTGCGAAAATTGCCACTTTGGGCGCCGAATGCGAACAAGGGCACTTGTACGAGTGGTCAGGAGCTGGCTCAAGAGGCCAGCCTAAAATAAAACAAAAGAACTCTTCTAGCAGCACTTTTTACAACTCACCTTCTAACAATGGTGGTAGGTTACATAACAAACAAGCCCCATTCTTAAGAAAAGTAAACACCTTTACGAAAGCAGACTAACCTTAAGAAAGCGAGTGCCTGTACGCCAAGACGGCTGTGGCACGTCTGATACACGTCTGAGGCACGACT